CCCTCAAGGTCAAGGTGTCACCACCACGTTTTCTGGGCAAGAACGGTTTGCGACCTGTACGGACTCAACCACTAGGGCCCCTCTTGCCACGTTCACTCGAGAGCCTAGATTTGGTATTTTCTCACTACGCACTGAGTCTGCCACGGTGTCTGCATATGGATAGGTGGCTGCGTCCTGCTCGTGTCAGTCACACACGCATCCGTCACTTCTTTGGCACCATGGCCTAGGTCATCCCTCATTTTAGCGTCTGCGTCAGATAGTTTCCTTGTCTTTTCACTGATCTCCCATCGTCGCTTGCCCCCCTCCCCCTCTCGTTTGTGCCTCCTTGCACTCCTTGCATTGAGGGCCGACAGTGTGCTGCCCCTCACTCCTCCACGCTGTCTCGTACCACAAACCCTCTTCAGACTCTGCATTTGGGTCCCTGGGGCCCTACCCGAGTTGCTGAGCCTCACTGGGAGCGCTACTTTTTGGTAGTTGTGGACGAGTTTTTCAGCTACACCATGGGTTTTCCCCTACAGCAGAAGGCCGATGTGCCTGACACACTTCTCCAATAGATTGTAGACGTTCGCACGCAGCGAGGCTGGCCTGTGCTTGGTCAGCATTCTGACAAGGGTGGTGAGTTCACCTCTAGTCGGGTTGAGCAGTTTTGTCGCACACATGGCATCACCCAATCGTTCTTGTAGCCGGATCTGCCTCATCAGAATGGGATCACCGAGCATCGTATTGGCCTAATCATGGAGATCGCTTATACGTGTCATGCTAGTGCACCCCATTTTCGGTGGCCCTTTGCAGTTTGCTACACTGCGCACCAGCTTAACATGTGGCCGCGTTCCTCACACCCACAGGTTTCGCCAACCATCCTTTGAGTGGTTCCTCTGCGAAAGCGTATGAATTTTGAGTATGGAATTGTCTTGCTTACGTCCGCGATCGTCATGCGGACAAGCTCGCAGCCTGCACTATCACCTGTGTCTTCTTAGTTTTCCTCTCGACACTCCTGACTAACTATTATACCACCCTCCATCTCGTCCCTTCCTCAGCTCTCATGACGTCACCTTTGATGACGTCCTCTTCCCCCACCAAGGTAGCAAACTGTTATGTGATGCTATCATTTGCATTCACGTCTGTTTGCCTCCCATCATATGTTCGTGTGTTGCATGGGTGGTGTGAGCGTGTGCAAGAATTTGTGTGTGGTGTTGTTTGGATTTTCTGAGTGTGTGTGAATTTTATTTTTCTTGAGCAGATATCTGAACTGACTCCTCTGCTCAAGAGCTTCCTGACGAACCGAGAATCGCCGCGATCGGAGCAAGAACGAGAAAGATATGATCGTTCAAAGTTTTGATTGAGATGCGGCGACTATGGGAATTTGTGGGTTGACTCAATATGGGGTACAGACTTTTGGGGGTTGGGAAATTCGTCACCATCACTGTAGATGATGCCAAGTGGTTGGGAGAAGCCAAACCAGGTTGGCAAGTGTGGCCAAGTTGGGTGAGGTGGATGGCATGAGTTGGGAAAGTGACAAATGTCAAAGTTGGGGTGCCTATAGAGAGGGGAATTGTGTGGTATGGGGTTTCCTTGGTTGGGGAATCCCTTGGGACCTTCCCTCTTGTCCTCCTCATCCCCTCCTACCTGGTTCCATTGCTAATCCAACTTTCTTGTGTGAACTTGTGAGATAATTGTGATTGAGTTACGTTTTCTATGGCAGCATACCCCCTAGTGCGCCGAAGTTCATAACTCGAGTTATACTCCATATTTTGATACTATTCAAATTGGGAAAGATAGCCACGGTCAAGGGCTACAACATAATCGAGTTTGAGAGAATTCTAACAGTGCGTTAATCGTCGACGACGTTTCTTGTGACGACGACTTTTCTGTCCAGAATTGTAGTTGACGATTTTGAGATATTTCAGCCCCTAATCTTCATAGACTCCGTCCTTAGTTTCTAACACAAACTCCCCCCTCCTCCCAACTTCCTCCCTACCAATTCCCCGCCACCCCTCTGGTAGCACCCCTCCCCCCACATCTTGCCTTGTCTGGTCCGTCGCAAGTCACCCCGTAGTCTTCTTTGTTACCGTCCTCATCCTCACAGTCACCGCATCAGACTTTGTCGCCGCCGCTGCCATGATTTCTGTCGCAGCGGCCGGTCACTGTGGACACCGGAGACACTGGCCAGGGGGGTGCAATGGATGTTGACCCCTGGCGGTGCTGACACTAGTGGTGTTGCAACTGGGGATGCTGACGTTGGGGGTGGTGGCCCTCGGGATGCTGACACTAGTGGTGCTGGTTCTAGGGATGCTTCCGTTGGGGGCGTTGGCCCTGGGGGTCAGCCGTTGGAGGAGCTGAATCTGAGGGTGCAGTTGTTAGAGCTGCTAGTTACAAAGGTTCTGCCAAGGGCGGGTTGGACTCTGTGGGTGCCCCAGCCCCGCGTAGTTTGGTGAGACTACACCAGCTATAATAGAGACGGCAACAACTACAGCAGCCACATGCGCAGCAGCTTCAGTGGTCGTCGTCGGCTCTGGTGGCTGGTCTTCAGCCCCTTGATCTTCCTATTTAGAGAGATGGCTTTCTTCCTTGTAGCAATGGCATCGTCTCATGTCAAGTGGGTTTAGTACAATTGAAATCCAAGCATTTCTAGCAGACTAATATGCAAACACCTTACGACGATTGTCACAGCTCAGAGGGGTGGGTGGGCGGGAAAGTTGGCTAAACCGTTTGAGAATGAGAGATGTGGGTGGAGGGAAATGACATCCTGCCCACGTTTTGTACTCCAAAATGGGCGTTTAGCGCGGTTCGAATCTGCCCATTGCTACATTACAAACAGCTTCGCTTCCAAAATACAAAATACTGAAAAGTGTTACAGCTTTTAAAAAATATTCATTTTCCCTCTACTAAATGTCCTCAGCTAGCTCCTGCTCCCGAGGGTAGCCCATGTGCTCTTGACATCTCGACTCCTTGTACCTACACTGAGGCGATCTTGGAACCTTGGACTTGTTGGTGCAATCCTACGGTTTGCACTCGGCTTGTTGTCCGTGTGCGTGCATGTGTGTGTGCATGGAATGGTATGAAGATATGAGATAGTATAGATTTCATGCTTATAGTAGTGTGTGAATGATGAGTCATTATGTCGAATGTGTGTGTGTGTCCAGTCAATAGCGATTCATCGTTAGTCGCATGTTACGTCGTCGCTTGAGTGTCTCGCACGGTTTCTATTTCGTCGTTTGTGTGTCTCGCGCGGTTTCTATTTCGTCATGTGTGGAACGCTCGGCGTGTCGCAGGTGTGTTCAGTAGACCCATCAAGAACTCAAGGATGAGTTTATGATGAAGAACCATTGCTTTGTGTAGTGTAACATTTCCCTTGGTGTAGCCCCTTGTGAAGGGTAGTTTCGAGACCCTTCGTGGTTGGGGACAGTCTGGCACTGTTCCAAATCACTGTACCTCGGCTCTTGGGGTTTGTAGGAGCTGGGAGTCATTCCCAACTCGTAACTCTTCCTAATTTGTGTTCTAAGACTATAGTGGCTGCCATAGTGCCGTTCGTTCAAACCAATGCTGGGTCGTCAATTCTTAATGAACTTGTGCGATCTAAATTGCCTAGTGTAGGTGACAAGAAGAAGCTACAGATCCAATTTGAATAAGGTCATTTGGAGCAGTGATCAGATCGCTATGAACGTTTAAAGCCGCTGTGCAAAAATCCGACTGTGCACTCCATCTTTCGTTTTAGGCACATTCAAGCCTATTGTGACTATAACAGGACTTACAAGTTGATAGCAGATATGGAGGCAGAGATAGCATCTTTGAGGTCCACAGGCACTTACGTCGACTTAGTTCCCCCTCATGGGGCAAACACACTCAATGGCTTGTGGATCTTCAGGGCGACGCACCCGCCTGGATCACCGCCCTCCTCAAGGCGCGCTACGTGGCGAGAGGCTTTAGTCAGTGAGAGGGAGTTGACTTCCTTCATGCCTTCTCCCCCACCTCAAAGATGACCAATCTTCAGGTGTTGCTACATACCGCAACACAGCGTGACTACAACTGCTTTTCTGCAGGGCAACCTCCACGAGCAGATCTGGTTGCACCCCCCTCTTGATTTCTCTGGGTCTTTCCCTCTTGGCACCAAGTGGAGCCTTCGGCGGCCAGTCTATCATCTGTGTTAGGCACGTCGTCAGTGGCACGACATGCTATGCACCACTCTTGCTGCCCTCGGGTTCACTCCATCCTATGCTGACCCGTATTTGCTCGACCGCTCTGGCTCTACGCCCTTCTACATCCTAGTGTACGTCGATGTCCTCGTCTTTGCTACGCCCAACAGAGCTGCGCTGGACTCATTGAAGGCCGAGCTACAGAGGAGACACACCTGCACTGACCTGGGTGAGCTACGTTGCTATCTTGGCTTGTAGATCATCCGGGACATAGCAGCACGTACCATTACACAGTCATTGTCACATATGGTGCAGCGCATCCTCGAGCTCTTGCTTCACCTCTTATGGTTGATTATGAGCTCACGGCTCCTACTCCTAGTGGTCAGTACCTCGAGCTGGTAGGCTACCTCATGTACCTGATAATATGTACTCGTCCAGATATTACATACCCTCTTAGCATCCGAGCGTGTTTTGTTGTGCCTGGGAGACACCGACTTGTCCACTGTCAGAATATCATTTGATAGATTTTTTATAACTGCTTGAAGTTAGATGTAGTGTAGTTATATTACCTTGCTGTTCGTGATGCACCCTTGCTTCGATGTATATCTTGTTTGGTTTTCTCTTAGAAAACAATCATACAAACTCACTCGATACCGCTTGGCCCAGGCTACTAAGCCTAGGCCCTAGTAAACTCGTACATTCATAGTTTAACATCATTTTAGAGCAGTAAGCTCCTAGACCTAGCCTTTTATGGGCCCACCAACCCGCCGTATGCACCATGCGCCCCGTTCCTTGTAGCCCGTTGTCGACCGGACCCCCACGGGTCCCTCTTTTTGTGCCTCGAAGGCCCCCTGTTTTGCGTCCCGAATGCCTCTCGATTCGCTCCCCGTAGGCCCCCCGATTCACGCCCCGCAAGGCCTCCACGACCCCTTGATTCAAGCCTCGTATAGCCTGTCGCCAGGTAGTTTGTCACTGTCATGCCGTCCGTACGCATCCCGCAGCCAGCATGCACCCCGCCACCCATCGCACTCCACAGCCCATACGCTCCCGGTCGCTCGTGCGCACTCTGCCGCCCGTCGCCAGATCCCCACCACCCGTACGCACTCCGCTGCCCGTCGCCAGATCCCCGCTACCTGTAAGCCCCCTCCGTCCCGCACCCCGCACCCTGCCCAAACCCATCTCTGCGTCGTCCCGTCACGTCCCATCCCGTTCCTGCACCGTCCCATCCCGTCCCCTCCCCACCCCGTCCCTCCCTCGTCGCCCCCACTCTTCCGAGCCTTCCTCTGCCGTATTGGGCGGTGGTGGGTGTGGTTGATAGTGGGGGGCATGGCGGCTTGCTGCCACCATGCTGCGCTCGCTGCTACCGCGCCTACAGCTGCCGCCGCCCTTCCTCGCCTCCTACCCGTCTCCTGCCTTACCTGCCCACCGAGAATGGAGGTGGCGGCCAGTGGGAGATGGGGAAGGGGGGGGCGGCGGCAGGAATGGAGGTGACGGCCAGTGGTGGGGGGAAGTGGGGCGGGAGGGCGGCAACGAAATGGAGGTGGCGGTGGCAAGGTGGCGACTCAGGAGGGAGACTATGGGGGGGTGTGAGGGGGTGGCAGACGTCCCTGCAGCACCTCCCGCCACTGCACCTCCTCCTCTCTCTCTCTGCCGCTGCTACTGCTGGGGGGGGGGGGGAGGTTCAAGGGGTGTGGGTGGTGGGATATTGAAACAAGGCTTCAGCGTTGATGCCGTGCATGACGCGGCTGGCCTGGCCTGCCATTGCGACTAAATAGAAGGCGCCGTAGCGAGAAAGGAGGAGAGAGCGTAGTCGCAGCGAAAGAAAGCTAGGCTAAGCCCTGCGAGAGAAGCCTAGCTATAGGAATGTAGAAAGGAGAGATGAGGAGAAGAAGACTTCAAGAAGATAGTATTAGACAATCCAAGGATAATATACAAGGATGATATAGCAAGAAGGGAAGAACATAAATGCTAGGAAAAGAGAAGTGCAACTCGGAAGGAAACCCGTGTCGCCACTCCTTTAGCATGGCATCTTGGCATAGCGCCTCGATGCCATGCCCTGCAGTACTCCAAGGTATGACGGGGATAGGAGAGTGTTCTCAAGGCTAGCAAGTGCAGAGTTTGGAGCTCGCTAAGAGATACAACTTCTCCCATTTGGAAATTCCCATGCATGCCTGCATGGCAAATCCTGTCTTGTTACAGTTATCCATCTACAGCCACACCTCCTCCTCTCTCTTGCTCCCACGTCTTCCGCAGTGGGGGGGGGGGGGGGGGGGGGAGGTTGAGGGGATGGTGTGAGTTCAGCTGCAACATCAGCCGCCTCCTCCTTCTCTCATCCCACACCCGTACTTCCCGTGCTGCCGAATGCTCCTGTGCTCCTATGCTTCCCTTGCTCTCGTGCTCTTCGTGCTGGCCCCGTGCCTCCTGTGCTCCCGAATTTCCGTGCTCCCTTGTTCCCATGCTTCTCGTACTGCCCTGTGCTCCTCCGTGCTCCCATGCGTCCCGTGATGCCCCGTGCTCTGTGCTCCCGTGCTTCCCATGCTGCCCCGTGCTCCCATGCTCCCATTCTTCCATGCTCCTGTATTCTGGCCGTTGCTGCCCGAGTCATGCCCGTATCTTGTATGTCAACGGGAGTTGGGTGTGGCCCCGTCCTCGCTTGGGCAGTGCCGACCTTGTGGTCGGGTGTACGGGGGAGTGCAGCCGACCTGCAGCAGTGGGCGAGCTGGTCGAGGAGGGTGGTCGACCTGGAGGTCGACGGAGGAGGGGCCGACGTCGACCTCGACAGGGGGGACGTCGAGCAGCATGTCGCCGGGTTGAAAGGCGCCGACTTCGGGACGTCGACTTGGCGACGCCGCCCTAGGGAAGCCGACATGGGTGGTCGGCTGACAGGTGTGCTGGCTGACCTGGAGTTGGCCGACCAGGAGTGAAATTGATCTGGTGTGGTCGACTGAAGGTGGTCGTCGACTAGGGAGGTCGATGGGCACAAGGAGAAGTTGGTCGACGAGATTGTTGCCCAATCGACCAAGTTACCTGGGCGACGAAGTTCTACGGAGGCACGCGACAGTCGCCCAGGTGTTAGTGGCGAGGCCGGCCTCGGTGTGGTATCCCGAGGTCGACGTGGCTCATCAGGTGCAGTCGTCAGCGCTAGGTTGATTTGGTGTACGTGCTGTCCAGGTGACAAGGCACGGCGCACCAATCATCTGCGAGCACCTGCAAAGAAGGTGCGCTGCTGTTCTGCGGATGCAACGTTGGCACGCCGTCGACTTGCAGTGTTGGCAAGCCGCAACTTTGCACTGCTGGAGCGCGGTCGACCAAGTCGTGCTAGAACGCGGTCGACCATGCTGCGCTGGTAGTCCACCTGCTTGCACGCTAGCTCTGATGTAGTCTTGTCTTGCCAACTTGATTGTACCATTGTTGCCAACTTTCCTTAGTGAAAATCTTGTGGTTTTGCCCTGTGAACGCACAAGTGCTAGAGAATGACTAAGTGAACGAACGCAGAGATCCCTCCTACCCCGTGCCTAGCCCATAGTCTATCTCCCGTTGATAGAGTTATCTCCGCATGGTGCGTTGAGCGTGGACGGCACATGACTTACCTTTCAGTCAGGTCGACGTAGTGGTCACTTACCAAATTTGTGTTCGTAGGCCGGCAGCTGTGCGGTATTCACTATGGTAGGCGCCGTAGTTGACACGGGGGTGGTGGACACCATGGAGGCACGGCTGGAGAACGCGAGGAGACGTCACGAGGCGAACGAGTATGGCGACCTGCCCTGGGCAGTCGTCGAGGCTCGCATCCGTGCCATGTGGGCGACGGAACACCCTCCTCGGCCTGTCTCTCCTCGACCGCTGAACAACGAGGGCGGCATCGACGTAGGAGTCAATGCCGGTGGTGACCAAGTCGGCAGCAATGAGGGAGGCACATCGAGGCAGCGAGGTGTGCTACACGCCGATGAAGTCGGCGGCGTTCAGGCGCGAGGGATGCGGTCGTCAGCGGCTGCAGGCTCCTCGTAAGAAGACGTCGGAGGACGACGAAGCAGTTTGTCGCCGATGTTGGCAACCCACGTGACAGCGGGCGGGATTGCGCCGAGCTACGGCTACTTCAAGTTTACGCCGGACAGGATCTTGGTCACTCCTCTGCTGGTTGGTCGACCCGACATTCTTACCTGGAAGGAAGCCATCGAGCCCAAGTTGGAGATGGCCGGGCTGATCGGCTTTGCCCGCGGTACCGTGGCGACGCCGGAGGACCACGATCTGCGTGCGGAGTTTCGCGCTGTGCAGTTGCTGACCTTCACGGTTATCTCGCGGTGCTGCTCGCCGGGTGTGCAGATCGCCTTGAAGTCGTGCAGGGAGTACCTTGATGCCGGCCACCGTGCATGGCATTTCATCGAGTCGACTTCCCAGGTCACCGACGACTTGTTCATCGGCCAGCTCAAAGGGCGGCTGACGCACCTGCAGATTTTCGACCAGGAGACTGCGACCGACTACTGCAACCAAGCTCAGAGAATTCTCGCAACCATACGGATGGCCGGCGCACAGTACTCAACGGCATCGTATGTCACGGATGTCATGCAGGGACTCCTGAGCAACTACAAACTACTGAAGCGACTGTCGATGGCGCCGAGCACGCGGGTGACGCTCAATGAGGACACCTTGACCTCGTACATCCTGCAGGACGAAGAGATTCAGGAGGCTGAATGGTCCCAGGAGCTCCTAGCACAGGTGAACTACGTCGCCCCTGCGAAGCAAGGTGGTCGACCAGAGCAGCGTGGGTAGTCTGGCGGCGGTGGTAGCAGTGGCTGGAAGCCGACCTGTTATAGTCACAATAGGCTTGAATGTGCCTAAAACGAAAGATAGAGAGCACAGACGGATTTCTGCACAGCGGCTTCAAACGTTGATAGCGTTCTTCTCACAGCTGCAAATGACTTGATTCAAATTGGATCTGGAGCGTCTTCACGTCGTCTACAATTAGCAATTTAGATTGCATGATTTGATAAAGAATTGACGACACAGCGTCGGTTTGAACGAACGGTACTATGGCAGCCACTATAGTCTTAGAACACAAGATAGGAAGAGTTACGAGTTGGGAATGACTCCCAGCTCCTACAAACCCCAAGAGCCGAGGTACACTGATGTGGAACAGTGCCACACTGTCTCCAACCACGAAGGGTCTCGAAACTACCCTTCACTAGGGCCTACACCAAGTGAAATGTTACACTACACAAAGTAATGTAACTATCTTCAATATCTTGAGGTGTACCCTTTTGGCAAGCTTCGAAATCACTTGAGGCTTGACACCAAGGCTTGGGCTCTTCATCACAAACTCATCCTTGAGTTCTTGATGGGTCTGCTGCACACACCTGCGACACGCCGAACGTTCGACACAGGACAAAATAGAAACCGCGCACGACAAAATAGAAACCGCGCGCGAGACACAAACGACCGCGTAACACGCGTCTAGCGATAACTCGCTATTGACTCGACACACACACTCGACATCATGACTCAACATTCACACACAATTATAAGCATGAAATATATATTATCCCATGCCCTCATACCATTCCATACACACATACATTCACGCACACGGACAACAAGCCGAGTGCAAACCGTAGGGTTGCACCAACAAACTCCCCCTCGGATTGTTGGCCTTAGGATATGTTGCTCTCTCAGTTCAGAGCCATCCCAGCCAGCTTGCAACACTTCCAATGCTGCTGCTCCACCAGCCTCTTGGTCATCATGTCAGCCGGCTGCCCCGTGGTCTTCACGTAGCGCAACTCAACTTCACCCGCGGTTACCATGCTCCTCGTCCAATGCCACTTCACCCTCATGTGCTTCGTGAGTCCATGCAACACAGGGTTCTTAGCAAGAGCAATGGCACCCTGGCTGTCACAGTACAGTGGGGTAGGTCCTTGCTGCTCCTCCCCCAATTCAGCCAACAAACGCCGCTGCCACACAATCTCCCGTACGGCACGGAAGAGTGCCATGTACTCGGACTCCACCGAGCTCAAAGCTTGGTCAACCTGCTTCTTGCTCTCCCAAGCAGTTGGGCCTCCACCAACACAGCATATGAAGCCTCCCACACTTGTCATGTCCTCTGGTTCTGATGCATATGAAGCATCCGAGTAGGCGGTGAGGAACAAACGCCCGGGTTCAACACCATCCGTGCCCTTTTGGCGCCTTTGTGCCGCCGCCGAGTATTGCAGCCCAACGGTCGGTGTTTGGCCAAGATACTTGGCCACCCTCATTCCAGCTGCTACCTGCTCCTCATTAGGGCATTGCACAACCCTAGCCAGCTGCCTGGTAGCAAACGCGACGTCCGGTCGGGTGTTTACCGCCGCATACATGAGGCTGCCCACCAACGAGTGAAATCGGTGCCTCTCCTCTTCACCAACGCTCTCCTCCTCTGGTCCCTTCACACACTTGAACCCAGAGGGAAAGGGTGTAGCCACATGGCCTTCACTCTGCCCAAAGTTGGCAGCCAATGCCTCCAGGTACTTTCGTTGATGCACCCGCATGCACCGCTTCTCCACATCTCGTTCGATGTGGAGCCCAAGGTAGAAGCTCACGTCACCAAGGGCCTTGCACTTGAACTTGTCTTGAAGCTTCAGCATCACCTCCTTCACAAGGTCAGAAGAGGGTGAGAAAATGAGGATGTCATCCACATAAACCACCATGAAACTCCTCTGCTCCCCCTCGCCAAGCATGAACAAGGAGTGATCGGCCGTTGAGGGAGTGAAGCCGATCCCCTCCAACACTTCGCGCAGCTTCATGTAC